TGTGATGGGAGTTATAGTTTACTGCATCTGAAATGCCAGCTGCAGGCGGCCTCTGGTACTGTTAGCTGTTCTGGACTTCAACTACCATCATGTGGTTTAAGCCTACACTATGTGTGTGAATGTGTGTTATCGTGTCATTATGTGTGTTAATGTGTGTGTCACCTTGTCAGTGTGTCATGTGTGTTAGTGTGTGTCACCTTGTTAGTGTGTGTCATAATGTGTGTGTCACCTGGTCGGTGTGTGTCATTATGTGTGTTAATGTGTTAGTGTGTGTCATTATGTGTACTGTGAGATTTCTATTGTATATTAGCTGGATATTTTCCTTGATGGTGTTTGTACTATTTACTAAAATGGTGTTTGTAATTCTAGGAATGTTATAATGAACAGATTGTAGCGGATGGCCATGAGCTGCCCTGGTACTTGTATTATGTGTAACATGTATTCGTCTATTTGCTAAATGTCTATGCAGTAAGGGAATGCATTAGTGTAAAATAGCAAAGTTCTATGTGTAAAATGTATTGGATTCGTCTGAATGTAAGGTAGTTTCATTCCCTTAGTTTGTTCGAATGAAACTACCGAACACTCAGACCTCCCCTGTGTGAAGTATGCCCTCAATTACCTGTTGCAACATTGTTGAAAACGGGTAATTGACAAGCTGTGTAGCAATCCTTTGTTCTCAGGGGTGGCCGCCATTCGGGAAACGAACACGTGGCGGCGGCCATCTTAAACTCCCGAACAGCGGTGTTTTGCCGTCGAGTGTCTGGAACTCAAAACGGACACTCGACTAGGCGAACACCTCCATCAGCCCGGTCCGTTCGGTTCCAATCTACCGAACGGCCCCTCGTTCGGTAGGCATAATCAACCGAACGAGGGGATTCAGGCAAACCCTCTCAAGCCTCTATAGCTGGAGGTTTTCAGGTACTTCATTCGCCTTTTCCAGGACCGACCGCATGGCCCAATCCAGCGCGGTCGGTCATTTTATTCCCTCCATGGAATTCCCGAACCCCTGGTCTGATCTGGGTGATTTTTGGATATGTTGTCCACCCAGATCAGGGCTACCAGGGGATGTATAATTTAAAGTGGTACCCCTAGGTTTAGGGGTACATCCAGAAACGGGGGGAATTACTGTACTGGACAAGGGGATTATGATGCCGGCTGAGGGGAGGAGATGTGTGGGAGGTTACCAGGACAGGATTGGCTATTGTGTTAATGAATGTAATCCCTCCCTTGCATGGGAGCATGCTTTAAAAGGTCAGTGTGGAATAAAGCTTTCAGTTCTGCTCCTGATACTGTGTGTCGTCCAGTCATTGGGATTGCTGTGGGGATACTATTGGATTATTTTGCCTGTTGGAAACATTGCCTGTGGATTTATATTTACTTGTTCCTGAGCCTCACTGGGATCTTAAGCGGAGATAATAGAAACATAGAATGTGACGGCAGATAAGAACCATTCGGCCCATCTAGTCTGCCCAATTTTCTAAATACTTTCATTAGTCCCTAGCCTTATCTTATGGTTAGGATAGCCTTATGCCTATCCCACGCATGCTTAAACTCCTTTACTGTGTTAACCTCTAAGATAATCTGGGGAAAATGGTATCTCCGCTACACAGATAATGAAATTTACCCAATAAATCCAGGTACGTATAGAAAATGATCTGAGAAAATGGGATGGGAGTTTGAAGCTTGCAATCTAGACGCCATTTATAGCTCACACGGCGAGTTCATTATTTCCCTAAATACCTTCCGCATGTTTAAGAACGTTAAATATAGAAAATCTGTTTATCTTCAATTTGCTGAATAATTTCTGGGTCAATCAGGGGAATCTGAGAATTTCAATTAAATCTTTATTGAGAACTTACTGTGTTATTTTGTGTTCCCTCTAATATTCTGTGGTTGTTGAAGCAGAAATATTTTGTTGTGTAAATGTTTTTCCTGTTACACAGTATGTGCACACTGAATGCTTTTACAAATGTAAACCTGAAATTGTGTCAAAATAATTTAGCCACGGTCTCTTTCTCATGGCTAATAACTCGCCACCTTTTATTACAAATATGATTGCAAGTTATAGTATTATGCCTACACCCATGCCACAGTGCCCACATTGTATTATGCCCACATCCATGCCACATTGCCCACATTTAATTATGCCCACATCCATGCCACATTGCCCATGGACCGTTTTGCACATAAGGGGTTAAAACCGTTTAGGCGATCGTCCCCCTTTCCAGAGATGCAGGCAAAGCTACTGCAGAACACCAATCCGCTGAATAGGAAACCATATGAAAAGTATGCATCACATTCACATAAAACTTACATTTTCAGAATCAGCATACTCCAATACAAACATACGTCAAAATCATACAAATTGGTCCAGTGGTTCAAAAGAAAGATCGTAGTCCTTTGTGACCACAGGAAGCATGGCTTTTCTGCCCAAAACCAGTTCCACAGAGTCTTCTATCCTGGAGATAATTAGAAGTAATCCAATTATCTCCAAAGACAGAGGCAAAACTCCATTGAACACATGGCAGCAAAAAGACCGTAAAATACAATAAAATACACAAGGTTACATTTATGACATAAAATACAGACATGCAACATATGCCCAGATAGCTTAGATCTGAGCGCACATTATTACTGAATGGCGCTCAGATCACATACATACAGTTCAATTGCCATGGAGCCAAAGTCTTTTATTACATGAATAGGCTCCATGGCATATATGAGTTCATTCAGTAAATCCGAGAATCTACAGAACACCGGGCAGAAAAGCACAAATAAGTCTTTTCTGCAGTGAAAAATATGTCTTTTAACATGGGGCCATAGTCCAAAGGCAGCAGGCTGTTTTGCCTGCATTGCCTGGTGAATGATGAGTCTGCACCGGCCTCCCTTACACACGCCGTGCAGGTCTGAACCTTTCAGCCGCCAGATATATTGAAATATCGTGGGAGCACAGTTAAGATTCATGGATCCACACGGCGCATGTAAGGAAGCAGAGCCCCTGTAGCGGCCCCTGTTCCTAGTGTCCTGTTCCCAGGTTCAGACAAAACTCAACCCTGGAGGCTCTCTGTCCTTACAGGACTTTCCCCCTATTTTCTTCTCCGTGCAAGATGGAACAGCAGACGCAGGTGTTAAAATCTTCCTACCCTCCCGTAAAAGGAGGACACACAGTTTGGAGGTTTAAACACTGGCATCTCACCAGGCTGAGTCACACTCTCTATTGATTATAGCTTCCTTTAAGCACAGACCTCCGCAGGGGGGTCTGCATTCCACACCATACACTTCCCTTAGTCCCAGGCAGGAGGGGGTTGGGTTACAGATAGCCATCTCCTGCCTTAGGAGATACCAAGCAGTACACAGGGATACACTTTACATCATATTACATTCAGGGTGGGTTACACTTTAAGTGGCTGGTTTGGCCACAGATAGGAATAGCAATGCAGTAATAGTGATGCACCGAACGGTTCGCCAGCGAATAGTTCCTGGCGAACATAGCATGTTCGCGTTAGCCACGGTGGGCGAACATATGCACGGTTCGATCCGCCCCCTATTCGTCATCATTGAGTAAACTTTGACCCTGTACCTCACAGTCAGCAGACACATTCCAGCCAATTAGCAGCACACCCTCCCTAGCAGACCCTCCCACCTACTTTTACATTCATTCTCAAGCTACATGCTTAGTGAGAGGAGGGAAAGTGTAGCTGCTGTTGATTAGATAGGGAAATGCATAGCTAGGTTAGGGTATACAGTGTCCACTACAGTCCTGAGGGACTCAACTGATCTCTGTTGTAAGGACAGCACCCCAAAAAGCCCTTTTTAGGGCTAGAACATCAATCTGCTTTTTTTTTTTCTGTGTAATGTAATTGCAGTTAGTTGTCTGCCACTGCTGCCAGCTTCTGTGTCAAGCTCACATTGGATACTGTGCCCAGTGTCACCACTCACTCACTGGTGTCACAATAGCTTGCATTTAAAACCAAAAAACTTTTTTCACTGTTATAGATTGAATAGCAGTTAGTTGTCTCAAAGCGGGTGTGTCAGCCCTACAGCGTGTACTCTGCCAACCTGTGGCAGTTCACAGTTCCACTCATATCTGGTGTCACAGTAGCTTGCACGCATAGTACCACTAATCGAAAAAAAAAAATGACAGACAGAGGCAGGCCACCCCGCAGGGGCCGTCGTGGTCGTGGTGCTGTGATTCCCTTTTGCCCTAGAATAATGCCCAGTTTTCAGAGGCCAGGTACCCTGAACTTGAAAAGTTCAGGACATAGTTGACTGGCTAACACAGGACATCCAATCTTCTACAGCTTCCGCTCGGAACATTGACGCAACATCTTCCTCCAGCTTAGCTTCGGGCACCTCTCAAGATACCACTCACCCACCTGCCGCCACCACCAACACTAGCACCACAGCCGCTTCACTTGGTATGTCAGAGGAGTTATTTACACATCCGTTTGAAGAAATGAGTGATGCGCAACCATTATTGACAGAGAATGTAGATAACAGGGATATGTCTCAATCAGACAGCATTACACATGTACGGTGTGATGATGATGATGATGTTGTACCAGCTGCTGCTTCCTTTGCTGAGTTGTCAGATACAAGTGAAGCGGTTGATGATGACGATGCGTCCATGGATGTCACGTGGGTGCCCGCTGGGCAAGAAGAAGAACAAGGCGAAAGTTCAGATGGGGAGACAGAGAGGAGGAGGAGACGAGTTGGAAGAAGGGGGAGGTCGTCGCAAGGAGCTAGTGGCACAGTCAGACAGCATGCATCGGCACCCGGGGTCAGCCCGACAGCACGCCAATCAACGCATGCTGTGTCCACCACCAGAATGCAGTCATTGCAGAGCTCAGCAGTGTGGCCTTTTTTTTGTGTGTCTGCCTCTGACAACAGCGATGCCATTTGCAACCTGTGCCAAAAGAAACTGAGTCGTGGGAAGTCCAACAACCACCTAGGTACAACTGCTTTGCGTAGGCACATGATCTCACATCACAGACGCCTATGGGATCAACACAAGCAGCTCGCCTACTCTAAGCCGCCAGCCTCCTCCTGGTCCAGCATCTTCAGCCACGTCAACCACTGCTGTCCTCCTTGCCCCCTCTCAACCATCCGCCACTCCGTCTCTCGCCTTGAGCAGTTCCTGCTCATCTTCCCACAGTCAGGTGTCTGTCAAGGACATGTTTGAGAGTAAGAAGCCAATGTCAGAAAGTCACCCCCTTGCCCGGCGTCTGACAGCTCGCTTGTCTGTACTATTAGCCCACCAGCTTTTACCATACAAGCTGGTGGAGTCTGAGGCGTTCAAAAAATTTGTAGCTATTGGAACACCGCAGTGGAAGGTACCCGGCCGAAATTACTTTTCACAAAAGGCAACCCCCAACCTGTACTCGATTGTGCAAAAGGAAGTAATGGCATGTCTGGCACACAGTGTTGGGGCAAGGGTCCATCTGACCACTGATACCTGGTCTGCAAAGCATGGACAGGGCAGGTATATCACCAACACTGCGCATTGGGTAAACATGCTGATGGCTGCCAAGCATGGAATGCGTGGCTCTGCAGATGAGAGCCCTGTCCGCCCTGAATGCACAGGTGGAAAAGTGGCTGACTGTGCAGCAACTGGAGATCGGCAAAGTGGTTTGTGACAACGGAACAAATTTGTTGGCGGCATTGAAGTTGGGCAAGTTGACACATGTGCCGTGCATGGCACATGTGTGTAATCTGATCGTACAACGCTTTGTGCATAAGTACACAGGCTTACAGGACGTCCTGAAGCAGGTCAGGAAGGTGTGTGGCCATTTCAGGCGTTCCTACACGGCCATGGCGCACTTTGCCGATATCCAGTGGCAAAACAACATGCCAGTGAGGCGCTTGATTTGCGACAGCCCGACACGTTGGAATTCAACACTCCTAATGTTCGACCGCCTGCTCCAACAAGAAAAAGCCGTTAATGAATATTTGTATGACCGGGGTGCTAGGACAGCCTCTGGGGAGCTGGGAATTTTTTTGCCACGTTACTGGACGCTCATGCGCAATGCCTGTAGGCTCATGCGTCCTTTTGAGGAGGTGATAAACCTAGTCAGTCGCACCGAAGGCACCATCAGCGACATCATACCATTTGTTTTCTTCCTGGAGCGTGCCCTGCGAAGAGTGCTGGATCAGGCCGTAGATGAGCGTGAAGAGGAAGAGTTGTGGTCACCATCACCTCCAGAAACAGCCTTATCAGCATCGCTTGATGGACCTGCGGCAACACTGGAAGAGGATTGTGAGGAAGAGGAGTCAGAGGAGGAATGTGGCTTTGAGGAGGAGGAGGAAGACCAACCACAACAGGCATCCCAGGGTGCTCATTGTCACCTATCTGGTACCCGTGGTGTTGTACGTGGCTGGGGTGGGAAGAACATACCTTCATTGAGATCACCGAGGAGGAGGAACGGGAAATGAGTAGCTCGGCATCCAACCTTGTGCAAATGGGGTCTTTCATGCTGTTGTGCCTGTTGAGGGACCCTTGTATAAAAAGGCTGAAGGAGAACGACCTGTAGTGGGTGTCCACGCTACTAGACCCCCGGTATAAGCAGAAAGTGGCTGAAATGTTACCAAATTACAACAAGTCGGAAAGGATGCAGCATTTGCTAAATAAATTAAAAAGTATGCTTTACACAGCGTATAAGGGTGATATCACAGCACAACGGGAATCTAACAGGGGAAGAGGTGAAAGTAATCCTCCTCCTCCCACGACCACGCCGGCAAGGACAGGACGCTTTACAGACGTGTTGTTGATGGAGGACATGCGGAGTTCTTTAAGTCCTACGAATCGCCACAGCCCTTCGGGATCCACCCTCAGAGAACGACTTGACCGACAAGTAGCAGACTACCTCGCCTTAACTGCAGATATCGACACTCTGAGGAGCGATGAACCCCTTCACTACTGGGTGTGCAGGCTTGACCTGTGGCCTGAGCTATCCCAATTTGCGATAGAACTTCTGGCCTGCCCCGCTTCAAGTGTCCTGTCAGAAAGGCCCTTCAGTGCAGCAGGAGGTATTGTCACTGAGAAGAGAAGTCGCCTAGGTCAAAAAAGTCTAGATTACCTCACCTTTATTAAGATGAATGAGGGATGGATCCCGACGGGACTGACAGTGGGCGATACATTCGACTAAAAAAGGCATGATGAGATGAGCTGCCTTGGGCTAAAAATGGTCCACACGCTGCTGTATTTTAGCTCTGAATGCCGGTTGACTTGCGTGACTTATCCGCCACCAACTAGGGTTCAAGCCGCAATGTTTTAGGGCTGTGCTCCCCAACCTTTTTATCGCCGCGGACCGGTAAACGTTTGATCCACGTACCGGTCCGCGGCCCGGGGGTTGGGGAACACTGTTTTAGGGCACTTTCTGCCTGGGAAACAAACATCAATTCTTCTGGCCGCTGCTACAGCAGCGGCTGCAACAATACCTAATTTTTCAGGCATGTGTACATGCCTAATTTTTCAGGCCTCTGGTGCTGCACTGTGGTTTCAAAAACCAAACCAAAAAAAAGGCACATAACAGGGATTAAACTGATAAGAATAATACTACTTAACACACCTTATAATAATGCAGAGAGAGGCAACGCAGAGAGAGGAGTCTGAAGAAGAGGAGTCAGAGGAGGAAGGTGGCTTTGAGGAGGTGGAAGACCAAACACAGCAGGCGTCCCAGGGGGCTTGTTGTCACCTTTCGGGGACCCTTGGTGTTGTACGTGGCTGGGTGGAGGAAGAGACCTTCAATGACATCAGTGAGGACAAGGAACGGGACATGGCTAGCTTGGTATCCAACCTTGTGCAAATGGGGAGTTTGCGGTTGTGCAAATGGACTGTTTGTGGTTGTTTGCGGTGCGTTAAACGGGGAGTTTGGTCTGTCACTGTGAAGCGGGCGTAACCCTTACACTACCTGATCGATACAACATCATACAGTAGGTCCCCCCCTCATTATTTTTATGGCCCCCACCCACCGCTCACGGGTGGGGGCGGGCGGGAGGACAGTAGGTCCCCCCTTATCCTTATTTACTGAATATTCCCCTGTATAACAATGTTTGGCATTTAGTGAATATTCCCTATTCTGCTCTGTGTCAGTGTATCATGATCTCTGAGGACAGGTGTCAATCCATATCTGCCAAGTGACCCTATGTAGGAGGAACAGTCTCTATTCTGCTCTGTGTCAGTGTGTATCATGGGGCTCTGAGGACAGGTGTCAATCCATATCTGCCAAGTGACCCTATGTAGGAGGAACAGTCTCTATTCTGCTCTGTGTCAGTGTGTATCAGGGGCTCTGAGGACAGGTGTCAATCCATATCTGCCAAGTGACCCTATGTAGGAGGAACAGTCTCTATTCTGCTCTGTGTCAGTGTGTATCATGGTCTCTGAGGATAGGTGTCAATCCATATCTGCCAAGTGACCCTATGTAGGAGGAACAGTCTCTAT